TTAATTACATAGTTTGTGAGATTATTAAATTAAATAAATATCACTCCTAAAAAGAGAACGAACGCACAAAAGCCACTCTTTTTGTGATTATGATTTCAGAAATTGTATCTGAAATTGGGAATACTAAGTTTTACTCAATTACTTTGTGCTTTGTCAATAAGCAGTTTTTAAAGTCATAGATCCAACCTGATTTATTATATCTTAGTGAGGGTAAGATTCATTTTATTATATTTTTTGGAATGTGCAAAAAAAGGTCTACGGTAATAATTTCGATGTATTTTAGGTATGGAAAGTCCAAATATTTAGGAAAGTTCCATTTTTTTACACTATGTATCGGATATTTTCCAAAATATTGTGAACATTGACTCATAGTTCCACTCCAGTAGGAAATGCGTTAATCTGACCTGAACTTGATTGACGAAATAAGCTCAATGAAGCAATATGTTATTTATGAAAATACTGCCAAATCTGATGCTTATGTTGAGTATCGTAGAAACTACATAACTGATCACATGTGTTTAAATAAATTTCTATTCTGTATGGAGATTTTAAAGGGATTGCACTTTTAATGCAAATTATTTTCGTTTGAAGACAAACGATTATAAAGTTTAGCTCTAGCTGTAATTATGAGTGTTGTGGATTTAGTTCTTTCAGTGAGTTACTCCTTGATGGATGTAACAAGAACAAACTAAATGTGTAGTGCTCAAGAATATTTCTAGATGATAAAGGTGATTGTTAATATTCGAACGTTTTGCTCCTACACTGATACATATTCAATGCCATATAATAAGTTTCCTCATAAAATATATAACACACAAGTCATCCACTTTCTGAGAAGTATATGAATTCATAAGTATAACCTCTGTCTCTTAGATACGTTCTTTGAAAACTGATAACTATCACGCGACAGGACATGCTTTTATACATAAATCAATTAAACCAGGTTATATATAGAAGTCAGGTTATTCAAAACAAAAGGCACTTATTCACATTCTTTCAAGCAGACATTGATAGAATGACAACGCATATTAAACTATTATGGCAATAGTGAATCGAATCATCTTCCTAAGAATTATAAACAAATCCATAACATAAATTCAGTTTTCCGAATCAAATGAATGGTTTGTATGTTGTTTGCTGTGTTATATGAGTATATCAGTAAGATATACTAGTCATATTCAAACATCCATATATTAGACGATATAACTTAATATGTTTAGATTTATGCGCATAAATTATAGTCCAGTTTAAGACTTATGTGTAGTGTCTTTTTTCAAAATTATTGACTAACTAAACTCATCAAATAATAGTCTACCTGTAACAAAATATAGGTCTTCTTAGAATGCAGTTGAATCCCTAACGCTTCTAATCAATATATTATGTTCGTATTAATAATTCTCACTCATTTATGCAAGTTATATTTTAAATGAACTGCTCTCGATTTACATACCTGTATTATTATGTATTTCTTAAGTCTATCATTTTTAGTAAGACGTCATATCCTCATTCTGATTCCAGTGAATGATGCGTGGGGGTACTCATGAAATATAAATCCTTACTAACATCGTGTGTATTCTCTGGCTAATGTTTGTTAGCGCTAACGAGATAAAATAAGTCGGACGCGTATATTTCACTCATTAATTCAGAAAGGAAGATGATAAGGAGATTATATTTTGAAAATAATAACAAATTTAGAGGAATGATCAGGCTTATACAGAACGTAACGTAACACATAAAATGTAAAAACATATGGTTAAATTCACTTGATATTGTTTTACTTGAAAACATGTGGTCCATAGATTGTTTCGGGAGGACGCTTGTCACAAAGATTAGAATAACGTGAGACAGGAGTTTGGAACCAGTGGAAGTATGAATAGTCTCTAGGGGCAATGACAGTGCCATTACCGCACAATTATATTAATTTACAACTGTGGAAAGGAAAACGTAAGCAGGGAACACAGAACAACAACCATAAAATTGCTGTGATAAAATTCCCATAGATATATGTTGGGTTTGCTAATGACCTACTGAATTGGATAGATAATTGTTGTAATATATATATATATATATATATAGACAACTCTATCCTCAGAAAATCGACCCATTGACCCCGATGAAATGCACATGATATTTGGGTCACTCCTGATTGCCACCGATTGACCTTTTGCTACTTCTGAATGTCCCTTCATATCAATAATATTTAAACAGATCTAGGTAACCAGAGGCACTGTTTGTATAAAATATCTGAAGGGATGGTTGTTTATTAAATATGTCCAATACAACAGATGATCAAAAACTTCTTTTCCAGATAGTTTCACCACTGAAACGGGATATATTCACAAGCGTTTTATGGGTGTACTCATCAATGCATCGAAAAAATGGAAGTGATTTGATTTCACAGAACAGCAGAAAACCATTCCAGTCCCCAAGATTTAATAAAATAACCTATTCAGTGATTTAGTATGAGATATTTTTATTAATGATAAGAAATCGCAAATTGGACTGGATCAGTAAATGTAAAAGATCGTTTATTTCGTATTTTGAAGACTTGGCTGTTTTGTTCTCCACGTCCTAAAAGGGGTTTGGTTCAATCCTTTTGCATCCGGGTTTGCAGTCTACTCCATATCTATTCAAGAACTTAAAGGGAGGTTACAGCTTTATTAGTTTTGAGATAAGTCAAATAGATTGTATAGATTTACTAGTCACATACCTGACTTCTGAACCACTTATCATTGTTCACAAAAATACTACTAGAAACGTTTGCGACGGCTTTAGAGTCAATTATGAATGTATCATAATGCAAAATGCAAGGGATATTTTCATTTTAAGATGCTCTTACGAATTGATTGAAAAGAAATGTCTTGTACTCATTAATGACTTTTAACCAAAGTTCTTATAATTTTACCCAAAATCATAGTTATTTGTGCACCTGTCATGAAATATTGATTCACTACGATATCTAACTCTTATATCTGATCCGTTACGCTCGATAGCCCTACGCTTTTTAAGACATACAAACATATTTGAGAACCAGGCAGTTTTTTTTGAAAAAATCTATCTAGTGCTTTCATAAGACCACAGCACAAGAAGAGATAGGTGGAGACCGTAAAGGCACTTCTAGCGTTTATGATAATCCAAAATATATGGTGAAGTAAGGAAACAGACATATACAAGTACAGTTTACATACATGATAATATATGTAAGGGAAATGTATTTGCATACAAGGTCATACAAAGAACGTAACCAGATTAGAATGACATATTTAAAGATCAGATAAAATTAAGTTATATAGGGGTGTGTTTAACACAGTTTACCCCCATACACTAAACAGTTCTTCATATTTGACAAGCATATATAATTTGTAAAAATGGTAAACAACGAAATCGAAACCCTTTTGTGTGTAATTTAAGACAGTTTAGTTGCTTCAAACAACAATTACAAAACAATATGAAAAAATAATTCATGCCAGCGATTCATGAAAGTGAGCAAATTAAAACATAACCATTCAATAAAACAAATGAGTCCAACACAATGTTTATCTAACATATATATTGAGTACAGTTGAACATTTAGATAACTATGTGATCATCGAGAACTCTTAAGACACAATTTGTTTAAATTTTACAAAAATTAGCAGCACATTCAGCATTTATGTAAGAATAACAATACATTATAACAACATTCACTTAGAAGATAAAAGCAGTTAGGTACAATAAAAGAAAACTGACCGAGCATAAATCAGAAGTAAGCCATCATCAAATCACATACGTAAGATAACTAGAAATGGTTAACAAAATGAATGATATAACATTCAGATATACATATGTATTTGTAATTAGTGATTTGAGAATGAAATATAGAAACTCCTATTTGTATATTATAAATAATAACGATAATAGTAACTACCAGAAAAAGGTACTATCATATAAATGTCTATCATAACTGCAGATAACTACACGGAAGTATCGCGAAAATGGTGTGCTTTCCTCTATTATTCCCTACCTCAAAAAATTCCCCATAGTATATCTTATTTAATATTGAACAGTGTCATAACGAAGATTTAACTATTTTATCTAAGATTGTGTATTTGACAAAGATCTGTTGAATAGCAAGGTTAGGTATAAAATGCTTTTACCTATTTTATACCACTTGTAAGTAAGCTAAAATTGTCGATTATAAGTATGAACCTGAAGTGTATGAACGTTAATTTTTCATAGAAATTTAATTGCTGCCCATTAGAGTAAAAATTTAATACACTCACAACACTGTAGAATAAAACTAGATACTATAATTTTTTTTGACTTATTTTAGATATAAGTACTTACAGTAAGTTAATTAGTTTTCATATACGTTTCGATTAAAATGCAATCATATATTTACATAATAACGTTTAAGTAATATCAAATAATAATGATGTGATAGTCTTCACAAAGGTTGTATGACTATTTTGGATTGTCACGATAATCAGTGTGTCAAACATAATGAAAACATGAATGTAATAAATTTGACTGAAAACTTAAAGATTTGTAGTTTCGAAAATGATATACCACTTCTGTTTTTTTTAATAGCAGACAGTAATTTTCTCTTTAAATAATAAGTCATGATTATATTTCTATATTATTTCCGATAAGTGATTTCATTAAAAATGTGACCAATTCATATCAATTAAATTTACCTAGTCTACAAACGTTCATGAGAAATTAGTTATTACGTCTGGGTTACACGAATTATATGAGCCCAATTCTAGAAACTTCTTTGACAGATTACAACACAATCATTATCAGTTTATACAATGCTACATTACAACCACAATCTTATAAACGCTTTCTTTTTTCTATGAAATAAAAGAATGTACATTATTAAAGGTGTTTTAAAAAAAAAAAGAACACTCCGAATAGTCAACACCGTTTTGTTTTGTAAAATTGAAAAGATCATCCACTATTTGGATAACAATGATCCCTAACTATTCATATCAATGAGTATTATAAAACATAACAGATCAGTAAAACAAACGTTTATTTTTAGATTAAAAAAACGCGAAAAAAACTTGCGTAACAAATTTTAAGCAAAATAATATAATAATAATAATAATAACAATGTGAGTTACTGGCAAGAAAAACCAAGAAGGGAACAAAAGATTATTTCTGATAAATTATCGTACCTGAACAAATAAAGCGGTGAGTGAATATTACGTAAGAGATTGTGATAAAGCAAGTCAATAATGTTTGGCGGGAAAAGAAAATGCAAATGAAATAGGATTGATTGTATTTCTATTTGTGATTTTTTTTAACAAATATTTTGTGCAAAATTAAAAACAAAACAAAAAAAGAAACTATGACGTGTAATGAAGGCACATTGAACAAAAATAATATTAAATAGTTTGTTTAACTTGTGGTAATTGAGCATTTCGTTTTCCTAAAATATTCATAAGATTTTTACTCATATAATATGGTCTTTCAGCAGATCCGTCATTCTTTTCTAAATCTTCCACTATACAAAAAATAATGAAATAAAATAAAATTGAGAAAATGTAATAATGATTATTTATTGATGAAACTAACAGAGTAACTTATTAGTTATAATTTAATTCTAATATTTACACTAGATAAATAAATCGTAGATTTGAGTTCAAAATAATCTGTTCACATTGTAATATATCAAACGAACTTATTGTCAACAACCATTTTATCAAAGCTGATGAGAATCCTAAGACTCTTGAAGTGACAAATATATATGCAACCACTTTGCATCTAATGATCGAAGTAGATAATGACACAAGTTAATTTGATAAAACATTTCTTTCTGAAGGATGAGAAGTGATTCCCAAAGCAATTTAACTGAATCTTGTAGATACAGGATAATGTGCTTTGAGTAATGCATATCAACGAGAAAAGTCCTGAACAACATACTAACGGAAGAGAGTTAGGTAGAAAATATTAACCCTAAAGCCATAACCGAGACAAAACGTAAAGTGAAAAACCAACAGCCAATATAGATGATAGCTCTGAAAACTGAGACTCGACTTGGCACATCCGACTAGAAGGCTTCCACCATGGTGACGGATTATTTGCTTTATTTAGAAATGACAGAAGCAACCAGAAAATCCCTAAACAGAAAGAATCCAATCCCCCCTAGAATCAGTAGAAACACTTATGTTCCTGAATTACGAGGAAATACATATCTGGTCAATACATTCGGCTAAAACAAAACAGTTACATGATGATTGAGATGTGATCTAGGAAATTGTGTGACAAAAAAGCAACTAAACAGATTGAAATGTTTAAAGAGAAATAACAAGGAGACCTGAAAAATAAAATGAATTTGTTCTTTCTGAAGGCTTCTCGTCAGTTACGAACGGTTTGATACTACAAGTAGTAATATGATAATAAACAAAGTGTTAACACACTTTAGTTTACTTTATGTAAACGAAATAAAGTATGTTAAAACTGTAATTTAGGGCTCTTCGCAACTGATGAGAAGTACTGAAACACAATGAATTCAATTTATCCTGCCGATCACATTGTTCCTGCCTTGTTTAAGTTTATCGGGGGATTAAGTATAATACCAAAATTGGTTAAAAATATAAAGAATTATATTAAGTACTCATATAGTATGGATTTTCATCAGTTTTTTCATTGCTTTCCATATGTTTTACTGCACAGAAACAAGGAAATAATATTGGGAAAATATATTGCTGATAAGATTATTTATCAATGAAAATAGAAGTTTTATGAATAACACACCAGTTAGAGTGAAATTGTAATACTTTGATGGAATTCACTAAGCAATGACTATTTACCAACTTGTCTAAGAAAACAAACATTGTCAAAAATTCAAAATAATATGCGAAAATATTACGCATTATTACGGTAGTTGTGGAGTCACCATACGAAAGTATTGGGTTAGAGGGGCTTATATAAGAATATTTGCAACGTAATTTTGAAAGATATTATTATGATACTAAATACTTGATATTGTTGTGAATATATGATGATAGACAGGAAACCAGTGAACTTGACTACACAATAACTAATTTACATTGACAAATGTCAACGTTTTTTTTTCAACAACCGAAGATGAAAATCCAGAAATTAACTAAATGAGAAATATCCTCGCCTATTTTAGTTTTTAAGGCCAAACTATATAATTCCACTAATGAACTAAGGAATCATGTAACAAGATGCAACCAAACAATAATTAAGAATATAAAGAATGTTATTAAGTACTTACAAAAGCAAAGAAATATTGTATCGACACCCATTTCGAAAACACTTGAGAATAATGACGCCACAAGGTAAGATGCAAGTATGATAATCTAAAAATGTATAACAAAAAGAATATGGAACACGTTTTACAGTCAACTAAATGAAATAAATAATATATCAAGATAAATAGTGTACATTACGTACGCGACAAAACAATTTCCTTAAACTTAGGTCTATAATGTATTATAACTTCTTGGAACAAAAAGTAATGATTTATCATAAATTAAAGAATATGCTAGAAAGGATTTCGTAATCCCCCCTAAACCACTTTGAACAACCTATTTTTAGTCAAAATACTGATTAAGTTTTTTTATTTTATGATTACCTGACGTGTATTTTCATACTCGCGCAGTTCTATTCCTGCGTTACCTTCCTCTAAGCTATGAGGTAAAATATTTCTTCATCTCTTCTTTCCGAACTAATTTTTTAAATGTTTAGCCTTTCTCGCTATCACAGATGCTATTAATATATGAACGATCTTACTAGTAATCTTGTTCATTTCTTCAAGCTGTATTGATGTGGTATAACATCGTGAGCTAATACACATTTATGCTAGGTTCTAAATTGTCCATATGAGTGACTGACTGAACATGTATGAATACATCTTATTTTGCTTTAAAAAATGTCAAGTGGAGGTTTGTAGATCAGGTGAATGATTTTGGTAGACAAAGAGGATGCCCTCTTCATTTTCGCCTGAACGAACATCGATTTGCGGTCAAACGTCATGACATATCCTTGCTTATAACAATCCATGTAAACAACTGTGAACATACATTCGATTGGGAAAATATTGAGATCTTGAATACAGGTAATTCTAAAAACATTTTTTAGAAGCTTGGCACCTAGGCTAATCTACAATCAACAAGCACATTGAAATAGATTTAATTTATTAACCAATCATAATAATTATGGACAAATATAGGACCGAAAATCAAACAAATGGGAGATATAATCAAAATAAAGGAGCAAACAATGACAGGTTGAATGTCAACAATAACCAATCAAGATGGACGTCTATAAAACAGGCTGTGAGCCACACGCGGAGAAATTCGAATACTTCACTTCTACCTGAATTTCGTGATGTTGTTGTTCAGAAGAACGATGGAAACTCCACGGCCAAACCATCTAGTTCAGAGAACATAACTCCGCCAAAATGTCAAGTATACAGCAACTTTTAAATTATTGTCTAAACCCAAATTCGAACAAGCAATACAACATACAACAAATGTACAAAATAACTCAGTGTTATGTATGAACTCATGAAAGAAAAGAACAATGAAAAGATTCGTCATGTCATGATGAAAGAAATCTTGAACCGATTAAAAGATGAAATAAACATGCAATATTTAAAAGTACACCAAAAATAAAAAAGTGAAACTATAAACAAATACAATAATAAGATGTAACTTACACCCAATGGCACGAATGCATAATGAAGATTAGAAGTAAACGCGTCACTTAGAAAGTCATTCCCTTTGAACAATATACCTTCCAAATAGACATAAGCCATACCACCTGAATTCAAAAAAATTATGATCCATTTTAGATGGCAAACAACAGGAAAAAATAACTAGTAACACAAGGTGAAATATTAATAGTTGAAATGGTTACATACAATCTTAATGGCATTATTCTTCATATCCACCAGAGAATGAATGGATTAAATGAATTAGTTTAGACAACACTGTGAATTGATAGTAACCATTACCGTACAATGATACAAACCATGGTATGAAGTCTCAAATTTAGCATTTTATAAACTAACAATGAATACAACACAAAAAATTACTGTGTGAGATCCATGCATGATACGCGTAACATAGAAATTTTTAAATGAGACTTGACAGCATGCTAATACACAGAAGACATTATATAAAATTTTGAATTGTCATAGTAGAAATCACTTACGCTTAACGATGATAAACATTCGGGTGACCAAACAAGGCCACCACGAAGAATGAAATAAAGGTCAACTATAAAAATACAACAATTATTTTCAATAGAAATTTGTATAGTATTGTTATTGGTTAAGTTTTTAACAACTTGTTTCAACAGATCCCAAGGTTGATTTATTATAACCAGCTTAAGTAGTGAAATCGTTATTCGGTAAAGTCGGATTCATTATGAATACTATTTATCTTTCATAACCAAACTAACCAATAACTGATTTCTGAAGGATATCAACAACAATTAATTCTTTCTTTTTAGAATATGTCAAATAGAAGTTATTTTTTTCCCGAACACATTCTCAAGAAATATACCAATCAGATCTATACCTTATCATTCTCGCATATTTATTATTGATAGAACAAAACAGTTAGTTAAAATAACCCATTGTGTCATTTCAGTGAAGAAATTTTCTTCGCTAAATTCTTTTTACTTTTATTCAAAAAAGTTAGTATTATGTAAAACTGTCATTACAGACACCGTTTATACAAAACTGTACAGGAAATGTCCTTATTAAACTTTAAAATGAACCAGTAATACAATGTTATAGTACAGTAAAAAAATAACCCTACTCAAATATTATTTAGCCATGTTCACACAAAATTCAAATATGTTCACTTACCAACAATACTGACAACAACAAGTTTTCCAATAAATAAAATAAAATCAGTCACTTTATCGACCACAAATAGTCTATGCATAGAAAAACAAGAGATAATAAAACTACGTATGAGAGTCGTTATCAAACTGTTACAAAGAGAAAAAGCTATGAATGAAAAAAAACGAAAAATTTCAGAATAAACAGTAAGTTTCCGTTGAAAATACTGCAGATGAGTTTTCAGCAGAAAAGATATATATATAAACAATAGGTCACCTAAGTTTTGCACACATCCAGTGCAAAAAAAACAAACGTCGAGAGAATTTTCTTCCCTGAATTATCTTAATTTTTCTCCAATCATACAAGTAATTATTTATGAAATCAGCCAATAAACTACAGGTTTTCCACTAACCAAATTGAGGATTGAATGGGTTTCAAACATGGTTATTTTCACTTAGAAATTAATTTGTATTTATTAAGACACGTGATCGATTAATACAAAGGTGTTTAGTAATAAAGCATACACTAGTTATTCCAATATGAGCGGCCAGATTATTATTATAAGCATTATTCATTATCATATTTTTAATACAACATAGAATTGTCAGCACAAAGTATTTCAACAAGTTTCCGTCTCATATTTCTTGGTCGAACCTAACGATAAATATTGAGTGATCGCCAGTTAGAAGTTAGCAGTTTAGTAAATCGACATCTAAATAATGTACATTCTTTTCGCTGCATATTGCCAACAACCACGATATCTCTGATTGGGTCCTTTGTAACTTGTACGATGAAAGGTTATACACCTTTCAGAAACTCACCTGAATAGGTTAGGCGATTAATAACCATAATAACGTATTAAAACAAACAAAATTACATAACTTGTTGAAATATCTACATGTCACGAACAGATAGTTTAGATGTTCAAGCTACTCAAAATAACTGAAGTTTAAAGTGATCTGTAACAATCTGTACATATTTCTTGACTTTTTCAATTACATATAACTATAGTTATGTTATATAAATTACATTGATAAATATTTCATAGCTCCTATTCTACGTAGTGGATAGTAAAACAGTGAACTTGAAAAAACACATCGTAAATACAGATTTCGAGAAAAAATATTATTTAAAAAGCAGGAAACATTTACAATCTCTAACATTATTTTACAATTTACAAGAGGTGACTTTAAAAGATTATTTACAAAATGAAATAAATAAATAAATGTGATTGACACTAAATATAAACAAACGACAGAACAATGAAATAGTAAAGACTCATTGAACAAAAAATGGTTTCTTTAAAATAAGGAAAAATAAAACTATATTGAACAGGTTTAAATAGCAAAACATGTGGATATATTGAACTTATATAGAATAATCTACTTTAAATAAAAATTTTATATACTATGTTCATATACATTTACCTGACTACATTGCGCGCAAGTAAAGACAATGCTGAACGAGAGGCTGAACAAAAACTTTGACCATAGATAGCAATCTAAATGGGATTTCAAGAATAAAGAAAAAAAATGTACTAAGATAAATATTGTTTTCACTTAGAAAGTTTACTTTTGTATATTTTACGGTGAAGCATAGCGATACTAATAATTCCTGTTTTACAGTTCATATGTATGCAAAGTATCTGTTTAGGGACAATTAAAGAAACTTGAAAATACAAAAAAAAACTTATTATAAACCGATTTTCAATAACACCTATTGATTGTGACGTTAAGGAAAATTCATCCTCGAAATCAAATCTGAAAGCTTTTCTAGATTCTAGTAAACCAAATAAGAATGAACATTCAATTAATCGATATTCAATTCATAATCAATTCACAGTTGTTGTACATCCATAATAACGCAGTAGCAATTTCAACAAAGTATGTGGATGAAAGCATAGAACAATCTATTATTTCTGATCAAACGACAAACTACAGAATTATCTACAATATTGGATGTTAAATCGTCAATTAGATAGTTCTAGAAAAACCCCTATATACTGTCGGTAACTACTGAGTATAATGTTATCTTAAGGTTTCAGTACAAAACATGAAATGTACGTCACTAACACTCAGTCACGTTATAATATTTTGTTATCAATGAGTAGAAAGCTGAATCATTTAATTGTGTATCAAAAAGTTAAAAATGGACTCGAACAGTGCATTAAAAGTTATTTAGAATGTTTAGATTGTACGCTAGAAAAAGGTATTCTAACGTGTACATACATGAAAGAAAATACACACAAACCATAAACTAACTATAGATTTTACAGGCCACAGTAATCATCAATGTAAGGATGAACTTATAAATCAAGAAAATGTTATGAACAGATAAAATGGAGAATTTCCTAGCTGGAAACGATTTTTCTGTGATTACACTGATAAACAATATGCACAACATGTAAACAAAACACAGAAAACCTGTATTCCAATTTACAATCCAATAACCTTTATTTATGTTAAAAATGAATGATCACAACTGTTAATATCTAATACCGGTCAATGAATTTTGGCATAGCTAGTTTACTAAATATACTACAATTAACTTCTTCCATTTTTTGCAAAACATAATTAGACAATCATACGAAGGATTCTGCAGTAAAACTAACCCAGGTACGGCCGAGATCGGGGGAAGTCAGTTCTCTTCGAAATGCTCTCATATGGCCACGTGTATACAGCCATCACCAGAGTAGTCCGACTTACTGTCTTCTCGCGGCAGAGGTGTTGTTTGAGAAGTTGAGAGGACGAAAAACGAATATCCGGAACTTGAACTGGGTTAGTGGATACTGTGGATCCACCTAGGGAATTTGGGAAACCCTGATTCAAACTAATGGTGCACATGGGCTCCAGAGTCCTAAAGAAACAAATGGAGTATGAACCAATTGTTGGTCACCAGCTACCATGTGACTGCATCTTCTTACGCTGCCCCACTGTCTTGTGGATTAAACCTTTAGGTCAAAGATTCGCCGTGTGGCCCCCGAAGAAAACCACTTGCTTCAGTTCGGGCACCCAAGCAGTATCCCAGCTCTCACATAAATCGAATGATTTATGTGGCGCATATGTGTTTGGTGCCTCCTTGTACCATTGTTTATGTGTTGAAATAAATAAACTAACCCAAATGTTTTAGATACAAAGTCGATTAAGAAGCTAAGATCAATGTATTTTCGAAATGTTTGACAACCTATCCATGTATATACATATTTGTGCTATAATCAAATAGGTCGATAAAAACAAAACATGATAATATAGTTCTTATTATGAACAGGTAGAACGAGGGTATAGAAAAACATATGAAGTCGAGTTACCTAAGTGAATTTATTTTGCAACCGCTTTCACAAGCAACTTTTAGTATTGTATCACACTCGTAAACTATGGTCATCACAACGTTATCTTCTAAAATTTAGCCCTATGGTTCATGTTTAACATTTAAACTACTGACCGCATGTAGATTTTGCAAATTACATTTACACACTAAATTGTAAACTATATGTTTGAAAAAAAATCACTTCGAATAAATAATAAATAGATTGTAAATAACGATAAACGTTTTCACAAGTTAAAATCGACAGTTGACAGCGAATGAATAGGAAGAAAGACAAAAGGATCATTAATTATGTGAACATTAGAAAAGAGGATGTATATTAATGTGTTCATGATTTAAAATCATGAATAAGTACGGACGTAATATAATTGAAACTCATTGAACTACATTTCAAAAACACTTAGTGTATTACTAGAAAATAGAAACTTACCATAATAAAAGCATTTCTATTAAGAAATCTTAGAAATTTCTCAAGTAGCCAAAAACAACAACTTAAACATTTCAAGAGAAAATTTGTAACAGGATTATTAGCTTTCTTCAATTTTGCATTGATATATTCAAGTGTAACACGTAGCCATTGTAATAAAGCAATTAGAAACGATCCAAATGCTAATGAACCAGTATGATAAAAGGTTGATCGAAATAGACTTGTTATTAATGGACATTTTGATGAAGATTTTTGATTATGAGACGAAAAGTAGTATTCAGCAAATGTTCCTGCTAAAGTCATTTGTGTTAAGGATTTGACAAAATTGATTAACCAAAAAAACATGAATAAATTGAAAAATTGTAGGTAGATAGTATATCTAAAATAGAAAAAAGAACAGCAAAAAGTATAAATATATATGTGATTGTGTGAAGTAGAATTTAATTTAAGAACTGTAGTTGTGATTTTAACACAGTAACTATTTATTATCTAAATAAATTAAAGGAGCATTGAAAAAGTTTAATATCAAAGACTATATATATATCAGTTTGTATTAATATACTATGAGGGTGGAGAGAATCCGCTCTCCCCTTCGAAATGCTCTCACATGGCCACGAGTATACAGCTATCGCCAGGGACGTTCGACGCTTTAACTGGGTTGGTGGAAACTGATGGTCCACCTAGGAGAATTGGGGAAACCTGGTTCAAACCATGGTGTACATGGGCTCTAGGATCCTGAAGGAATAAATGGTGTCTGAACCAATTGTTGGTCACCGGCTACCATGGGAGTGCATCTCCTTACGTTGCTCCACTACCTTGTGGATTGGACCTGTAGTTCAAAAGCTTGGGGAGTAGCCTGCTTGTACCAATGATTATGTGTTTAAATAAATAAATAAACTATGTTTCATTTAAAGACAATGAATTTTATGACGATCATACAAACAGGAGTTTCGTTGATTAGACGAATTTATTGCATGATAGAAATCCCTTGGCATAATTGTATAGTCTCGATAGTCTAAATATAAAGTTAACTAACCGAGATATCAAGATCGAATCATTAATTCTTTGAATATTTCAATATATTGCAAAACATAAAACATCACGAAATGAACCACCAGAAGTATTACAAGTTAATTGTATTTTAAAATTTCGATTGATGAAATTTCAATTAACTGTTTATCAGTAATGAAAATAATAGACATCCTGTGTGTGATTGACAATGGTAACGAGAGCAAAACGTAAAGGAATAGCATGGTGACTCGTCGTACACAAGACAGTGGGTGAATATCTGAGTTTACAATGAATAGTACTGTATCGCTAACTTAGATTATCATACAATAACTTACTTCCGGTCTCCATAATACAGAAAACGACAAGCTTTGCCAGCTGAATTGTTTTGCTACAATAAGACGAATTGGTCGAAAAACAGAAAAAAAGTAGCGTTTTTCATTGACATATTATGGTAAAGAATATAAATAAATTTATAATAACTATTAATTTATTAATAATAAATGTTGTAGTGAAGTGTTTCAAGTTGAACAAATACTCTAAAGCACATTCATAATTCTTATCTTAAGCCGCTTGATTACCAGTATTGTACTTATCTTCTTATTGAATCGTGATATCTTAAGTCTCAGATCACGGCAAAAGATTAATAAAGTCTACTGCGGATAACAAGTACTGGACTATGGGATAGATAAACAACGAAATGACATTCAACAGGCACACAGGACATTTGATTCATGTGCGGGCTTTCGGTGTACCATTTTCATTAATTGATGAGTGCCAAGATTTATCAAACACCGACGGTCAGTCGCACAAAATTAACATAAACTCAATCAAACAGGATCAACTACTGAATTACTAAGACGTATAAAACAATGAAGGGAACGATAATCTATTTCAATAATATTAGGTTGTGATAAATAAAATAAAGCGCACAAAAATTTTATCCTAATAAACTTAAATCTCATACTGTGACACACTAGTAGAAATCATTTTGAAGAATCTATGAATGAAACAAAAGAAAGCATGTATCACATTGCATATATAATTAATCTTACTAAAGGATCACATGGGATAAGTTGAAAAATTTCTCTTATATCATTTCTAGCCTTATCTCCAAATCCCGGAGTTACGGTAGGATCATCATTCATAATTTTAGTCCCAACAGGATCAGATATTGTTCGCAATGAAATAGCCACAAATAAAACTTGAGCAATAACAATCAATTCAAGAATGAACGGTAGTATTGGCCAAAACAATACAGATGTCATAGTTGAAACTGCTCTGAAAGAAATATGTCGGAAAAATCATAGACCATATTCATTTTATTATTTATCATAATTCTATATCTTTTTAAACTAAAAGGGGAAAAATGTGAAATTATATGTCAGTGGAAGTAGATAACAGAAACTTTAGCACAAGTAAACATACTTGCTTGCTTCGTTTAATATTGCAATAGCCACAAGAATACGCTTGCGTAAAAATATTAATATCAGAAGTATGATCACCAGTAGAATAGCAAAAATAATTCCTACAAGTGAAAAAAGGTATTACTTATTAGTCAAAGAATATGAAAACGTTTGAATCATACCAACAACGACGCACCTGAAAACATCTCATTGAAATTAAGCAGACTAACTGATTCAACCTACAATTTACATCAAATCAAACCATCCTTAAAGGTAATTCGATTAGTTAGATGTTAGTGACTAATGAGTACTGACCAAATTTTTAAGATGCCTTGCAAACGGTGGTTAAAGTCCCTGACGGACTTAAGAAAACGAAAATAATAAACATTTTATAAAATATATAACTAACCTAATGCAAGCCATGTCGATGCTAAACGGAAATACGAAGCAATATCCAAAGAGAATTCAAGGTCATTAGAACCCTCAGTTGTTTTACGTAGTACACTCCATCTGTAAAAACAAAACCCAGTGCCTAAAAGTAAAAAAAATCAATGATTAAAACTAAAAAATGATAACTTTTCAATGATAGTTTGAGAAACTCCATGATTACAACGATATAATGAAAGAGAACAAAAAATGATCCACTAAAAGCACAATTTAAGATTAAACTAAATGAATATTTTGTGTAGTCAACTTTGAATTATTTGAAAGTTAGTAAAATAATGTGAATAGTTAGATCTTAATGTTTACAAGTTAAATACTTTCAATAATAAGTTATATGAATGGGTAATTTTGTTTATACACATATAGCTGAAGTCATAGGAACTCGTACATATAACCCCAATTTATGTGTACAGAAGAAATTCGTAACCCCCCTATCCCTTCCATGGCCAGTTATAACTTAACTAACGATTTTTAAAAAAGAATTATTATTACTATTTATTTACTTTATTCTATTTTTGTTACCATTAGCCCTATTTTCACATCTAGTATTTGTTTCTAATTTTTTACCTCTTGCCGTTTGTATTCTTCACTATCTAATTATTTACACACTTAATATTACGTAATGATTTTAATGTTTTATGATGACTATTCCAAGTCTATTTACCCACGTTTGACCTTCTATTTCCAACGTTTAACTATTGATAAGACTTTAGTTATTGTGTTTTATTATTCTTAGCATTATCAGTACACCTGTCTTCCTACTATCAACTTGTATTTTTACTTATTATGTGTAGTGACTTCTATTTCACTTTGATTATTGACCCATATTGTCTTGATTGGTTTAACATTTTCGTATATTAGAGTAAAGCCTGATGATGATCTAATTGAAAACAATTATTCGCTTATATGTGTTGTTCTATATACAAAGGAGACCAATAATATCTAGAAAAAAATCTTGTAATGCTAATTACAAAAATCTGTTTCTTTTTTTTTTTGAACATATCGACTAAAATGTAAACACTGGATTAAAGAATATATTGAAATTGATCAGTAATTTATTATATCTTTATGAAAAATGATAATTGAAATTATTAAATATTTATGTTATACAATAGTTAAACTATTTATTTATTAATGAATAACTTGATAAAGATATAATTCTACAACAACAAAAATTAAAACTATTTGAATACCAAGAATATAGACATAAAATAAACGATAATATGCCATTATCATTTCACCGACAGAATCATGAGTCCATTTCGGAACTAAATAAATATTGTGTATAAGCAAATAATAATAATAATAATAATAATAATAATAATAATAATAATTAGAGTGGGTATGCAAAGTATGAAATCGATATCACGAATTATTTATTTACCAGTAATAATACTATGAGGTATTGTGAAATCAATGGAAACAAAATTGATTGTACACACGTACATCGATCTAATTTCATGCTATATATATAATGTATAAATCGAATGAAAACGGCGATCATACGTCAAAATTACTATCGTGATAACTAACTAACCGATAAGAAATAAAGATGATGTTTAGGAATAAACACATGGCATACAGACTTTGATAAATACGAAATAATATGAGAATTTCCAAGTGATAACATTTTGAATCCACAAATTTGACAAAAACAAAGCAGAATGTACAGCCTTCAGTTGTTTACATACAAACAAAATCTTTTAACTGATCATATAATGATCATTATTTAACTAAACAATCGCTATTAAGAACGGACTAATTAATTTTTAACATAGATAATTTTTTTCTAAGTTAAAAAGAGCAAACATGAAAATACTGTCTCTTTGTTATGAATAACAATAATTAGACAAAAGAGTATGACAAAAATTACTTATTTAAATCGAAGACAATAATTACCGAAAGAAAACAGGGCGACAAATAGAATTAATGAAGTCCAAACCATAACTGATGCACAACATCGTAATAAAACGATCCAACAGAATGATAACACCACAGATACTGAAATACATCTGGAAATAAAATCATAAACATGATAAATAAAGTTTATTTAATATGTGAGAAATGTGTATGCAACGGAATCTTAAATTACCAGAAAAACAAGAAAAATCATTAAAGACACATTAACAAAATAAATATTAACACGTAAATAATTTTTTTCAAAAAAACACATCGGAAACTGTGTTTAACATCGTAACTATAAAAGCCATTTAATTCTATTGTTATAAACTGTTACTCTCAAACTCAATATGCCTAACATAATTAATCTATAGTCAGTTACATAAACGAATTATAAGATTTTTTGGCTTACGAGAACTGTACTTAAGAACTACGTTTGCACAGAATTTAATTGGCGGATTTGATTGAGTAAAATGGTATTAAACAGGAAACAATACAAAGTAAGCTCAGGTATTCTATGAAGAAAAACAAGCCTTGAGAAGGATTTTAAGGAAGTAACTAAAGTTTTTACTTATCTCAAATACTTAGTTTTATTAATAGGCTGAAGGTGGTTGGTAAAAAACTTTAGATCGAGGTTTCGTGCCAAGGAGCACCTGTAATATTCAGAGAATAGATGCTACTTGTGGGATGTGAACTCGAATCACGGACACAAGTATTTAGCTATCCAATATCTGATAGGACAAAAATATTTATAACTGACTGATCACTAGGTAGTGACGAATGTCATGCGTGTTCATGTACGTAGGTTCATATCCTACAAGAAGCATTAAATCCTTCAAGATTGTAGATGGACCTTGATGACGAGTGGTAACTGGCATGAAACTTATAGTCAGTCTCATGCCAACAACCACTAACCACCTAACATCCTGCCATTGTGCACAATGTCGATTCACTCAAAGAAGTGGCCACTTCAACTTGATCGGAAGAATACGATCAGCACCAAAGAACTGGACACCTATGATTCCGGTCACTACAAAGTAATTAATTATAAACTTAGCTTAATGCCAAAGGTAGAAGAAACTCGTTTACTGATGGGGCAGAATCTTAAAACCACTCATTAGTGAGATTTAAAGTATCATAAAAGGGTGAATAAAAGGTCGTAAAGCTAAACATTAAAAACTCTAGTGTTTTAAGTAAGAAAGATGTGACGGAAATTTACAAGAAAACGGACGGTCCAGGAAAAATTCGCAGCTAATGAATATTCTAATATGATCATGTTTAACTTTGGGTTAATGAAATATACAAATATATTCAACGTATGCATGGATTATCATATTTTGTTTCACTAATTATATGGCACGTTTCATCACTAAACATTAACTATATCACTGAAGATGATCGGTCATAAGAAACTTTTAAAAAAAACGAAGACTTTATATGCATAAATTATGCTACAAAAGCGTTTGATAATCTGAGTGTACTATATCAGTTGTTTATTTTTCTTTTAAAACAAAGTGCACATACCAGAAAGAAAAACCAATTCATACATACAAACACACAAAGTGCATCACAGTTTCATAATAATAATTTCACAATATAATTACACTAAATACAAATGTAAATAGTTATCGAATATCGTTTAAAAAAGTAAATGACTTTTGGAGATATTTCAGTGAAGAAAATTTTCTTTGTGCTGATATCGTTTTCGTAAGCCGTACAATCGTTTGTGTAAGTTATTTTTGTAGTAAGTAGTCTACTGTAAAATAGAGGAGTGTTAAAAAATTATCAACGATAGTCAAACGTATTCAAGTATCGGATGTAAAAGTCTATGAAGATGAAGTGGTGTTGTAGTAGTAGTAGTAGTAGTATAATAATAAAGTAATCAAAAATTGTCAAAAGATATCATGTATTAAATAAAATGAATCTATAAATGAATGTTATTTCACAGTAATTAAAGTCATTGAAAGTTGTCCAGGTACTGAATAAAATGGATGTTGTATCATTTAGAAAAGTAATCAAAATTATCAAGAAATAAGGTTGCGTAATAGTTTGGAAGTAATAAGAATTAATAATCTAAATAATAAATGCCGAAACCAAATGTCGACTTTACAAAGAAGAAGGTGAAGACTAAGATAATAATGACCACTTATAGTTTGTAAGATTAGGAGGGGCATTAAGACCATGGAAGAATGAAGGGTCGAGTCTAGTTCCTTTGTACAGAGAAGTCGGGCTTGAAATTAGATTGATATAGCTTTAGCTTTCTACAAATTGCTCATCAAAAGCTTCTCTAGGCCAGTTCTTATAACTTTGTAGATGATCTTGGTGGTATATGATCATTGATTTGTGTAAGGGCTGTGGTACTGGCCGGGTGCCCACTGAGGTGGCTCAAAACGGCAGTTTACCCTTGACACTTCCCTGAATTAGTTTCTTACTAGGAAAAAGAATTCGGAGGTCCGATAAATCAGATATTTTTCTCGGGGATCTAAACATTCTGTTCTAAAGTATCTCCGCAGTCGTACCTCCCCCGAGTTCAATGTTCATCAATAAAATTTTCCCCGATACAGTGAGAGTACTTTCAATTTGACGTTTTGGTTTCAGGCTACTATTAATGAGCCTGCTTCGGTTTGGGCACCCGGGCAGTATCACAGCCCTCACACATATCAAATGAGATTTGTGTGGCGCATATGTATTTGGTGCCTCCTTGTACCAATATCTATGTGTTAAAATAAATAATTAATTAAATAATGAGCCTGGGCAGAAAACCACTCTCCAGAAGTGTTTGTCAGAATCTGTGCATACTCTTGAGAATAGAGAATGGATTAAATTTCCCTTCCTACTCAACGGCACCCAACCCTGGAAGTTCATATAATTCCTGTACCAGGTTGGCTTTCTGTATATCGATCGTTGTACGGGCCCATCTGGTCTTCGTTTCAATAAAATATTAAAAAAATGAATTTCTAACCTCAACTCCGATTTTATTATGAACGTGGTCGAATAGTGGTAATTGTTGAACTGTTGTAACATTTATTTAAGATCACTGATACCGTTACAGATGATAAAGGTATCATCCGCATATCCATCAGAAAAATAAAATTTACTGATTATGTCTCTAAGATTATTGTTCTCCTGGTTGACTACAAAATTCTGTTCAAAGACCCAACGAAGATCTCATTGTAACATCATTTGTCTGTAGAAATCGTCTTTAAATTTAAACTGCACGTTAGAAATTCAAGTAATTTGATACATTAATTACCATGAGTGAATAGATATTTATTTGACTACAGTAGACTCTAACATGAGTTTGGCCTCATGTTTAGAAAACAACTTACTATCTTATCTTATAATCTTATTTGAAGCTCAGCTGAATGTACCTGCATCCCGGAGTTGATGTTTACTTTGGGGAATCAAACAGAGCACTTTTTGCTTCAAACGCCATCGCGTTATCCACATAGCTAATGAGTCCAGATAGCCACTCATATACTCGTATGAACCCTTACATATTAAATTACTCCATCTTAATTTTGTACAAGGAAAAAATCCTTTCATTTCTACTGCATTATTATGAGAACAGTATCTTAATAAACAAAGTAGAACAATGATACCTAATTCATAAGACTGCAATCAAACGAGTCATAATAATTTCTGGACAGAAAGCGATGAATAGGTTCACAAACTCGGAAAATCAATAACAAAAAATCTGTAAACAAATTGACAGGAACAAAAATAGGTGAGACCAAACACAGATGTTTCCCAGACTAACTTGTCAAATTTCCAGTCAACACAACAACGAGGAATCAACAAGAATAGATTTACTTATACTGAATGAACAATATAGAGAAACAGTTAAAAAGCAATCGAAATCGAAGGAAAAAAAATACCACATTCAAGATTTTGAAGAAAATGAAGGGATCCATATAGGCTACTACAACCGATATTACACCACTGCCTAAATTGGAGAAAGTTTGTAAATTACCACAAAAAGACTGTATTTTCTGACAAGGTAAGCTCAAAAAATAAATGACGTCAATGACTGATCCTAGGATCCAATCTAACTGTTCTTGGACTTCTCCTTGATCATCAAAATGATCCTGAATAAGTGCCTATGTATGTGATACATGTAATAAGAGGTTTTGTGATACTTTCCAATACTACGGAACAGTCAATAAAGATCTAGTTAACATAAAGAAAAGCCTGAAAGTATCCGGATTCCTAAATTACCAGATAAATCATAAGAAAACCTAGCCAAAAAAAAACTAGAAATTAAATCAAAATAGTGATACTTACACTAATATAACATGCCAAGTTTGGCTTAGATCAGCAACAACTTTTTCAAAGAATGTAGTAAATTCCAACACCAATCTGAAAATAAACAAGAAATATTGGGAATACAGCCAAATAATAAAAAAACAGGATTTAGTCGATAACTAACTCAACATAAATCTATAGATCTAACACTCCGACAAAGGATATGTGCTTAAAGTTGTAGTGGAAATACTCTCCTTAATGTGAGACTGCATGCATAATCTTCTATCACGGGTTTCGTGATTACATACAAACACAATATATATTGAATCCGAACGTTCCTAACCGATTAAATTCAATTATAATTCACATTTTCTTTTCAAAAGAACTCCGTATGCAATCCATTTCGCATTACGATAATTAACGAATATGTGAACACATTAATAATCATAGGAAGTTAGATAGCACAACATAAATATTTCTAAAATGTAAGTATAACAATTGACTCTGAAAAGTATATCATGCATCACCAATGTTAGTATGCTATTTGAAAAAGATAATGCAGATGGGGAATACACGAAGTTGACACTTTTAGTTGTGAATACTAATAGTGACAGAATATAGCAGTTTGTTGTCTTGATTCTTAGATATTATTAGAAATAAGATAAATAGAGAAACAGACTTAGTAGTTCGAGTGACAAGTTATGTGAGAAAGATCAAAACTGTCAAGGGTAATCTCCAAACCAATTCAAATATAAGGATGAATAAATTTTAGTGGTCATTTCGCTATAAATTTACAATTATAAATATTGGATTATTAGCTTTCGTTGTAGTGGTTATTAAGAAATTAAAGGATAGCAATTTGTAGTGCAGTAATGTGATTTTATTCAAACTTTAGTAGATCAAACGTTGTAACTGTAAACGAAAAATTTATTTACCACCGAAGAATGAAGACTCAGCGAGTTTTTAAAAAAATACTAGATATGGAATTGAAGGAAAGAAACTTGTACTCATAATCCGTGGATGAAATGTATAGTGACCATAGTTATTTAACTCATTTGATAAGAATAAGTAATAAAACAGAAAGGTGAAGTCCAAAAACTTTGCACATTTCCAAGTTTTTTTTTATTTTTCAAATGTAAAGAGTGATGAGATATTTCATCTTGTAAATTACTTTTAAAAGTTTTTTTTGTATTTTTAACGGTAACCTTTAGCCTAATGTAGTAATAACTTACTGATTATTACTTAATTAGTGCATATTTTATTATCCACCCTAGATATTAAAACATTATTATATGAACAAACAATACTCTTTTTAACTAATTCTCTTCAGGTTCTACAATCATAGATCCAAATTAATAGTCCAAAATGTGTTCAGGTTAAAAGCAAAATATATTGTTTAAAAATCTTAACATGACTAGTAGTAGTATTAACTTGACTTAGCTTATATATTAAATAAAATAATAAGATTCATGATCAGAATAAACCGGAACCATATTTATTCAGATCATTATTTATCTCACAATTTCATTTAACGTATCAGCTAAATCAAGTCAACAATTTGTATTAGTTATCCTAACACTAACGATTTTAATTTATTTTACAATCCTTAATTCATATGCTATTATATTTAAACGATGGATTCTGCCTTAAACCTAGCCACTTTTTGGATTATTAATTTTGACATATAATTATAGAATGTAAAATCGTCCAGCAACATTAATGGGAGAATTTAACTTTATGCTATGCTTGTTTTATATATGATAATAAAGAACAGAAAATCCTTTCTTCAGCTTGACAGGTCCAATAATATCGCGTATTACTTTTACGGAAGCATATTGTTTAGAAAAGCCATGTTATAACCCGATTTGTTACGCTGTACAAAGTAATACATGGAGATTGTTTTCGAGATACCAGTCCTAAAGTAAGTCTATAGTCTTTTACGACTACTTAAGCTTGTCCACATCAACGAGCGTCACTCCATTCAGTAAATAAGTTCATTTTAAAATGCTCGCTTCCAGGGATTTTATTTTTACCGCACCACAACCACTTTGTTTTTGTGTATACGAGCGCATTTTAAACTATTGTCTAATAATAATGATCAGTTGAATTTTATTTCCTTCTAAAATAAACAATTAACAAGTGCTTAAATCTCACTGATTTGATGTAATCAAATAGTGGCAAACGAGTTCAAAGAGAAATTTACAGTTTTAAAATCAACTTCTTGGACCATTTGGAGAATTTTGCAAGCTATTAGTAAAATTGGGATTTTCTGTAGCATGAAGAAACAATCTTAAGCTGGGTAAGATCTTACATAATCACCGAATAACAGCTTGGGAAAACACAAAGCAGTAGAAACACCAAAGGAACAAAGCTTTCTGGAGAAATAAACCAAAGAACAAACAAACTAAATGTCAAAATGATTAAGAGTATTCTTACTTTCCCAAATATTCATGGACATATAGAACCGGACTAAATTAGATAATATGAACCTTTAGGGTAATTAGTTTGAATATATGTGACATACATAACTAGACAGAAAATAAAACACACTTATATTGGTTTCGGGATAAATACCACAAAAGTTGTCATCTCGACAGCTATATATATTCTCTTAATTCAACCAAGTATTGTTAGCGGAACATATAATGGATTAAAACATGTTCTGTCCAGGCCTACTTCTACCAAATCGGAGCTAAACAAAATTGGAGAAGACTCTAGGATCTCCTCGTGTAACATTATATAAGTAGTAACGTTTTTCTTGTGATTCACTTCCATTCGACTTGGTTCATTTGAAAAATAATTACGTACCTGCCCAAACCTTGTTCTAATTTTGGGAACAAGTCGAGTGAGGAAGTGTCCGAAAAAACACTAAGCAAAAAGAGTGGCTGGATCGCATAAGGAAAGACTTGACAAATATACGACAGATTACACATTATGTTAGCAGTACTACATAGCAGATCGTCGAACAAAATGGAATGAACAACACAAAATACTGCATAAAATGATATTGGGTTACGTTGTCACACTCTTAAAGAGCACAGAAAAAGAAATGTTCAAGAATCAAGGAAAGTGGGAATAGTAACGATAGTTAATAGTAAATAATTTAACGTTTTTCTATCATTAAAGAGACGAGGTATTTTATATTGTAAATTACTTTCGTGAGTAATTTTTTTCGTTTTCAAGGTAACTTTTAATCTGAAGTAGTAATAACTTGTTATGTCTAAATCAGAGCACATTTTATTATCAAAACTACACACATTAATGCAGGGTCATGATGCAAAGTTATTTCTTAGTTGGATTTACTCAGTACTATCATAAAGCTTAAAGGTGAATGTTTTTAAGAAAAATATTCTCTAGAAAACAACAATCGATGAGAATGAATTTTAAAGTACGTTTCAGTTAACAAGAAATCCAAGCTAATATTACTAGTATAGTATTTGCAGCTACTCATAGATAGAGTATATAAAAGTCGTAACTAGTAAGTTACAATATTTACAAACTACAAATGAACAAAATGAATGGCATGTTCATTCTTTTCACAATTCAATTTAAAGACTATGACACTCAACTTTAGAAATTTCACCAAGTGGAATTGATTTCAAACCTGTGACAAAATTGTTAACAATCAATAACTTATATTAGTAACTCACAAACCCTCACCATAAGGAAAGAAGAGACATTGTGATACGTTAAGTGTACAACACAATACAACGCATGTAGATGGCGGCAACAGACATATGCTATAAAAGACATAAACATCATGATACATTAATTTGGACGATAAGTGTTACCGCTTTTCGGTTATCCACGTTTTAGAGTTGACACAACATGCGGTTGTACACCATACCGCTTACAACCCATAAGGTCTGAGATTCTCGTTTATCATGGACATCATTGCTATTTTTGGCGAGACTACAATAAGAGCCACTAAAATAAGCGATGTTAAAATCTGCATATACAATAAATACTTCAACAGGACAAAAGATTTTTTTCGAAAAGAGTCAAATGAACCTTAAGTTGTCAACTTCACATTGACAGATATGACAAGTGTGAAATCGCTTCAGATATTTCGTATAACAATTATAAAGAGACTACAATGGTGATTAGAGTGCAGACAGTTTGTATCCGGTACAGCGTTTACTTGATAAATTTAGTGTCTAAAATAATAAAGATATGATGAAGATCATGTTTAAACAAAACAAAAAACGCTAATTCTTAATTTACTAAAAATTGAATCCTTATCTAAATAACGAGAAAATTGAACGTACATATGTTACACCAGACATCAATATACAATTCTATATTAAACTGGGGCGCCGTTTGGTCGTACCCTTTAGGTTTACCAATCATAAAATTAAAATACATTTATAGTGTGATGGGTTTAAATGGAGTTTTTGACGTAATTACACTTAGATAAAAGTGAAAATGATTTTGAGAAGCCTAAAACAACCTTTTGGAAATCCACTTACTTTCGACTTTTCACTACTTCCATACCATTCACCTCTTGATTTTTGGCATCCATTAAAAGTATAGGTTTACCAGTTTCATCACGAACTTGACCAGTTCCATTTCCCATTAACCGAGATACTTGACTTGGGATGCACCGACCAAGCACTGTTATAGAATACAATCAAATAATTTAGTAAATAAAAATTAAACTAGAAAGTGGTACATCTAGTAGCGATGAAGAGACATCAGAACTCAAAGTAGATAATTATAATAATACAGAAACAAAACGGGTTGTATCATCCTCATGTTTAACCATTTTAAATCCCATGTTATAAAATAAAGATATAATTTTTAGAACTAACTTGATCTAGAATGATATACATATGGGGCACATTGTTTGTCTTGTACTAATTGATCAATACTCTAAAACAACACAATGTAAAACATTATCAAATATATTTGTGAGAAATTAAATGACATGGATACACTGCACAATTATCGTCTAAATCTTTGCAATCAACATATTTTATGACTAACAATATGAATAATAATAATAATAATAATAATACTTCATAGAGAAAATTCTACATTTACAAATTTCGCATTTATATAAGGCACAGTTAAATTCCTAATTTTTGATACTGATTAGGATATTCTATGATGTAATTATTAAACAGGTCACCATCTCCGAGCTAACAAATTTAAACCATATTAATTGTGGTCTAGAATATTTGAAAGCATTAGAATTTAAGTAATAAGTGATAAACTGTAGACTGATAAAAGAAAATACTGTCCAAAAACTATCAAGACTGCTATAAACGATGTTCAAATAGTTCAGGTAGATTGATTTAGATCAGAATATATAGACCAATGAAATTCTAATGGCATAAAGTCATTTATTTTATTTCATCTAATGCTTATAAGTTTATCAGTTATCAACTTAGTGGACGGTTTAAGTAACTTTTGAACTTTAATTTTAATTAAAACAGAATGAAGATCTTAGAAATTATGATTAAAATTCGTTACTAAATATATATATTAACTAGACTTAAATACAGCTTTTGAAAGTGGACTTGATAAAACAAATTTGTTCGCTGAATTCCTTGTTTAATAAAGAATATTTATCAGTCAAAGAAAGAATGGAATAACTTACCAGGTTGGCAAATTTAGGATCATTCGCATCTACACCCCCTACACATATCATTAAACTCCTAACATATTGAAGTTTTTGATCAAAGGGACCTTTCCAAGACCAGTAATATTTTGGACACGATGCTACACAGACCTAGAAATATTAATGTAAATAAGAATGAGATATGTTTGTAGGTAATACAAACAAAACTTTGTTATCGTTAACTAACTATTCATGCCAAAATAAAGGTCGATCTCTGTAGCGGAATTTAGATTGGATTAAAGCATGTTTCGTGTAGGATTATGTTGGGGCACTCTGACTGGCTATTTTTTAACAATCAGTGCTAGCAGAGACTCGGAGAAGTCTCTAGAATCTTCTTGTGTAAAAACTATAAATATACTAACTTTTTTATTGTGATTCCTAATTCCGTATATAAGTATGTTCCCGCTCAGCCGTATTCTGATTTGACGACTTGTCGAGTGAAGTAATATTCAAGAATACTAAGCAATAAGAGTAGCTAGGTCGTAAGAATAGAATTTATGATGATCTCCATCGGTTCTGATTATGATTCAGTTACTCACCGAATATCCTCTTTTTTGTGTCAACTTATAATTCAACAATCTTATGCCATACTTGTCACATGAGAGCTAGTGGTGCTTCTGGTTCTGATGTTAGTCACACACTGTTGTGGAGGACGATTTTAGTGATTGATGAGACGGGTTTTCGATTGTCAAAACCAATGAATGAAACCTTAATTGATAAACGAACCCAATAACAAATTGTGGTTACTCAAGAGACAATAACGTTAACTGGAGCCCCCAACTAGTTAGAAATCGAATGTAAAACCGCTAGCCAAAAGAATATTCATTTTCTAACAAAGTAACATGCTTGTGTACACAATCTGAATACAAAATAAGCATGAGAAGAGTCACAGGCGATGGGAAGTTAGTTGGCCGGTCACTCAATCGCCGACCAATTAAGACCCCACTGTTAGGTCAAATTATTGGATATCATATCACCCACCCACTGGTTGATTGGAAAATGAGTGCCAGCTGAATACAAAATCGTGAGCTTGATCCTGTCACTCAGTCAGTAACAAGGTAGAACTTCGTACGTACGTACATCAGTTCGAGTTGCCACACCACATTAGCACAGAGATGCAGTGGTCGATTCAAATCCCGTAGTGGTAGAGGTAATAAGAGTATAAGCAGTAATCGGGAAGATTAGTGTGTGGAGATGTTACTTAAAGAGTATAATACAGTGAAATAAATTTGGGAAGAGAAAAAAAAGAGACAAGGAGGAATAAGGAGATCAAAATTTGGGAGAACACAAAGAGTGTATGCACCTGCGCCATTGCAAACGATTTGAGCCATGTCATTCAAGGTCTCTAACCATCGGTTGCTATCATCTCGCGGTCCCCAACCAGGTAGTCTACACCTACCAACATGACTCAGTCCACTTGTCAGTGACTTCATGGACTTGTGCCATGTTTTGGTCTGGCCGCCCCTAGCTTTCTTCCAACCTACTCCTATACCACTGAACATCGCACGTCGAGGCAGTCGGTCGTTGGGCATACGTAACACGTGTCCCAGCCATCTCAACTGATGAAGTTTCACTACGTCATCAATTGATTTGCCATCCTTACCTAGTACCCGTTTCCTAACAACTGCATTACTTACTCGATGGTCCCAGGATATACGAGCAATATTTCGAAGACACCTATGATCAAATACTAGTAACCTACGAATATCCTCTACTCTTACCGACCATGTTTCACTGCCATAAAGTAGGACGGAACGAACTGCTGCGCAGTGAACACGTCCTTTGGTTGATAGACGGATATCTCACCCACTCCATGAATGATGCAAGTTGGTAAAAGCTAGTTGAGTCTTCTGTATCTGTGCTGAGATTTCGTCACACACCAGACGACAAGGGCTGATGAGACTTCCAAGATAAGTGAAGCGGTCGACACGCTCAACTACTTCACTCCCTATCATTAGTTCGGGTGTCGATGCAACCCAATCCTGAAATAACATTTTGCATTTCCAGGGGGAGAACCGCATCCCGAACCTGCTTGCATTGTCGCTTATAGTGGTCAGAAGACTGCATTTTGTCAGCGTCTTCACCAAGTAAAACTATGTCATCGGCATATTTCAAGTCAACAAGTGAATCTCCTAGTAGAAGTTCAACCCCTGGAAATTTAGATGAGGAAAGTGTTATCTCTAAAAGTACGTCGACGACAAAGTTGAACAAGAATAGAGAGAGTGGACAGCCCTGACGAACACCACTTGAGGTAATTAATTCTGATGACAGTTCGCCTTAAGCTCTCACTCAACCGGTTGTGTTCGAGTAGAGAGCCGTATAAGGTTAATGTACTTCTTTGGTACTCCTTTCAGTGACAAACACTGCCATAGAACCTTACGATCAACAGAGTCGAATGCCGCCTTAAGGTCGAGAAATACTACGCTGAATGTGTGTCTATGTTCTGAGACCTAAGGTAGTGTGAATATCTGGTCTATACAACCACGTCCAGGTCGAAAACCAGCCTGGTTTTCTCTATCTGCTCTTCTTGAGCTTTGGTTAGTCGTCGAAGTATTATTGAAGCTAATATGTTGGACACTATATTAGTCTAACTGATTCCTCTGTGATTGTCACAAGAGGACTTTTGTCCTTTCTTATAGACTGGCACAATCAGTGATTGAGACCAGTCAGATGGGATTACGTCCAGTTCCCAAATTCTACCTAAGACCTCAGTTAATCTCACTGCTAATACTGGACCACCATCCTTAAAAATCTCAGGAGTAACCTGTCAGGACTGCTGCTCTCCCTCACTTCAGATTTCTTGCTTTTTCAACTTCTAAGGCGAGGACTACATTAACTTGCCATTCAGGTGACTGAGATCGTGGGGAACCGAAGTGTGGCTAAAGGCCAGTTGAACTGATCCCTAAAGTGTTCTGCCCATCGATCCAATCTCCTGGATTGAGAATGTATAATATGTCCATCTTTCTCTGAGAGTGTTTCGCTAACAGTCGGTTTCCTTAACGAGTCTGAACAATTGTCTGCTATTACCTATTGCCGCTGCCTTTTCCATCTCTCTTGCTTTCGCTACCCACCACTGTTCACGGTCATTGCGTAGACTTCTTGTCAGCTTGCGCTTAAGCTGACTCCGCTCCTCATTATGTTCAGAGCCAGATGGAATGAGTTTCCGAGCATCTATCAGTGCGATAGATGCTGCTGAGATCCAGTGTTGCTCTTTAACCTTACGGGTTACCGTACTAGCAGATATCACTGCTGTTTCCACAGCTTTTCGGATATCATTCCATGCCGCCTCGGGGTGGGCATCACCTATATGGCTGCCTAACTGTTTTCCTAGTTGTTCCTGAAATATACTCTTAGCTGGACTATCATTAAGTAGGCCCCTAGGAGGTTTCCTTGCAGCGTCTTCCCTACGTCCAGTAAGACGCAGACAGATACGCGCTCGTACTAGAGCATGATCCGAATCTAAGCATGTGCTCCAGAATGAGCGAAAGTCTTCTATCGAGTCCCTCTATCGGTGGCTGATAGCGATGTGATCCATTTGGCTCGAACGTTGGGACGAATTAGGGGGTCGCCATGTTAAAAGATGTTTTTCCTTATGCTTAAAGTTAGTATTTGCAAGGAACAGGCGGTTATCTGAGCATAGGTGCACTAGACGGTCGCCATTATCTGTTCTTTGAGCCACGATGCCATAAGATCCACCCCGGTGTCTTTCCCTATCGCTTAGTTTACCTACTTGAGCATTAAAGTCACCGGCCATTATTACTACATCAGAGCGCCTAGCTTTTCGGATAAGGTCGGAGAGCTTTCTGTAAAACTCATCTTTTACATCATCTGAGCTGCAGTCAGTGGGAGAATAGGCAGAGACGACGAAGAGGCAACAACGAGTGTCCCTATCTTTTCGGATCCTTACTGTTCCGTTCAGTCGGACAGCGTACAAACGACTGTCTACTGGGATCCACTCTAAGAGAGCTAGTTCTGCCCTAGGACTCAATGCTATACCTACGCCGGCGAGGCCACGCGAAGCAGCATCAGGGCTTCCAGACACATGAAGCGTGAATCGAGTTGGTTCTTTATTTCAACATGGTGAGGTCCAATGAATGACGCTACTCGGATCCTGTATGCGCGTTTCGAAGACGCAGCACACGTCGATGGCGCGAGATTCTAAGGTCCTAGCTAAGGAAGCCTGTTATCCTACTTGGCACAGTGTTCGGACGTTAAAAGCTCCTACGTGTAGTTTAGAGCGTGGTTTCAGGAGACCAGGAATAGCGTTCCGCGTAATGAGGTTGCGGGTAAGCAATGTCGAAACTAGTGCTTCTAACTTCGAATGATTCTGAAAAGGATGTTAGTCTGTTACGATAACTAAATTTGTACGAAACATGTTCACCAAAACGGTCTCAAGGTATAAACTTTAACTCGGAATACAGTGAGTGAAATTTCACAATTACCGGATAAACAAAAAGTTGTTTTGATACAACTTCGTTTTTGAGTTTATGAGACATGTTACATGAATTATATATATGTATCAAAATACTTAAAAACGTGTAAAAATTTTATACCTGAGGCGTCGGGCACCCTGTAACAACTAAAGCTGGCCCCAGTCTGAGACAACTTTGCAAATCAAAGAAGAACAGATATGGTTTTCCACTAAACAAAATAGGAACGAAAAGTATAAATGTATTAATGGTGAATTTACGTGTGACCTCAAATATACATTCTCCAAAATTCAACAATGAGTAACTACAACGAAAAATAAAGCACTTGGTTAGATTTCTTTGGGTTTAAATGGTGAAAGTTGTATTTCGTTTACTTTCGAAAGTGGTGATAACCATGTTAATTCACGAAATAATAGGACCACCATACACGGATATCTATATCAAATCATGAGTGCACTGAAAAAAACTCGGATTCCCAAATTGATGTATGCTGAACAGGGTTTAGACCACTGAGCTTCATTCTCGTTATACATACGAAACACTAAGTTCAGAACATTATACCCATATTTTTTTAACGAGGTCAAGACAAGTATTTGCAAAATTATTACTGATTAGTGCTAATGTTCTCAATGAATACGATCGTTACTATACCGAAAAGGCTTATTCTAGAACTGTCATTTCAAATGGAGTTTAAAAAGTGAATGTTTATAGTTCACAATTAATTAAGTATATGCGGATTATCTTCACTACCATAATTAATTTCTCAAATGATAGAAGTCAGTTGTCACAAACAGGCTGTCATTCTCGATAATACAAAATATTAGTTGCAAGAATAAAGTACAGTTTATAAATCTATCAGTAGCTGATCTTATTTATGAAACATCTGTTAATAAAGTGAATTTAGAATATAAGATCTGAAAGCGACTGAATACTGTCTTAAAAACTAGTGAAAAATGATTTGGATGTTAGACAATTTCATGTACCAATAAACGCTAAATCATAGGACATTCAGAAATCCAGATTAAATTCGTACAATATGTAAGATTTTGTTGTTGTGTGTTAAGTAAAAAAAATTGTCAGCAAGAGTTATTAGTGATACGTTCGTGAACTGAGCTAATTATGAGTAATTTCAAATTAAATACGATGAACGAGACTAGTACTGTCCCCTTTTTGCCAACCCACTACATAGTGTGAATTCCCGTTTATACACAAGCTTTCTTAATAGAAACCCAAAAACTAAATTATATTCAAGTTGATTCAATTATAAATCAATCTAATAATAATTTTTCACAAAATTTTGTCAATTGAGCAATTGTTACTGAACACAAGATCACTGTAAATTAAACGATAAAAAGGATAAATGAATCTAAATCCAAATAACTAATTATAGCTGAAGAATAGAATTTACTCTAAATAAATTAGTACAATGAAAATGAGTTGTTACTTGACTGAACAAAACTCATCTTAACTCGATATCCTTGTCTTAATGATACGTACCACGTCGGAAGAAAGGTTTAACATTACGAACAATAATATAGGTGTAGAAATTTCGAGAATTTTTTTAAAAACCTTATAAACTAATTTAGTTGATTAGTATTTATTTACCCAGGAATTACCTTTGATTCTCACTCATTAAAAGGTTTACCAATTGAAAAATTCAGCAAATCTAGATTGTTTTCTCAAAGCGACTTAACAATGAGTACGCTATGCATTGTGGATTCAGGACTTCAACTAATAATAAACGAGCTAAACTCTGTCATATGTAGACAAATACAATATTTACACACTTAACATTTGAGATTGCAGTTTATAAAATTCGATAAACATGAAACATAATCAGACCATCACAAATAATCCACACATATACAAGAAATGTATGCAAATGTATCGGACTAAATTCATAAACATATTCCAATACATTTAAGGCTAGGTGAATAAAACACTTAAGGATAGATTAATATGAATGATACACACCAAAAAATCAGGCACTAAAACGATTAAGCACATACTTTTCGCATAAATTACATTTTGCCTTTATGTAAAATAACTACGAAGTAAAAAAACTGGAACATTTTACACAAAAATGAATTCAGCTTCAAAATGATTCAGCTACGCTACGATCAATGACGATGTTTAACTTAAAAAGTCAGTTAGTAAAGATATCCTCAAAACGCTTGGTGCTTTTATAGCTACTTTTCATATTATCCAAATAATCATTAAAACATCCCCTCTCGACTTAAAGCTAATTAACCCTTGGAATGTATGAATAACCAATTATATGACTGCAATAAAATGTTTTGAATTAATCGGGGTAGAAAGCAATATTCTAACCACAATAGACGCAAGAAAAAAGTGACTATGTTCAGAAAAATACAAATTGTAGTCAACTTTTCCCTTAAAGATACACTAGGCATTGAAGGAAACCAGTTTCGAAGTAACATTTACATTTGTAGTCAATATCGCAACCAATCATGTATTGTTATTCAGTGCAATAAGATTGAATTAGTTAGTATCATCCTCACACCATCAGAGAGTCATCAGACAAATATTAGTACGTCTCTGAAATCATATTTATAACAAAAGCATATAAAAACAATGACCAGTGGGAAGTTGGAGAATAATTACAGACCAACTAAACTGTTCCTCAGTTTTCCGATTATCATTGTAATCACCTAACCGGGAAAGACATTCTTGATGTTTCTCATTGCAGCAATTCAGCTAGTGGCAGGTTTTGTTTTAACATCTACAGTGAGCATCCAATGTTGTCTATCATTACTGAATGTTCCACACTTTGTTATCTGCCCGTTCTCAAGATCACTATTTTTCTTATCTCAATAATTTATATTTTCTTATTTAGTATTATATTCGATCTCTATTTTTTCTATCCCCGTCAATACTGTTACTAACTCTAATATTGAGATTTGCCCTGACAATTTCATTTCATTGTGTTAATGAAGTATGGCAACTTGAATTGATATACACAAATCCCGTGTTCTACATTGCGTATAACTAACTAATGCAATTAATATTTAGTCGTTTCGTTAATCTACACTAACGTTCTTTAGTTCATGATTACGTTAATATAATCTACTAATTGAGAAGCTATAAGAATCCATTGATCTTGTTGAGATTAAACCAAGAACGTTTTGTGTTGTAAGATGAATGGAATCTACTCCAAGTTATGTTTTAAACCTTCCGGAAATGTACTAATTATTTATGTACATTCATTGAATTCATGTGGATAGAATCAAATCAATCGACAAAGTGATAACTGTGAAAAGTACTTATGATTTTAAGGGTATAGTACGGAACTTCCTCACAAAATAGATTGGTAAAACTAGATCTTTTTTACTAGATTATTGCATATCCAACAGACTGAGAGCATGTGAAATCTGATGAATTCATTACACGCTACTATGTCCACTACTTACGCTCTATAAGATTGATAATATGATTCGTCAAGTGGTCTCGAGATCACCAATTCACATAACTCTGATTAAATATTGTTTCCCACATTTTATTAATCATCCACTATGTAAATAGTTTAGTGTGCGAACTAATGTAAGTTGAGCCTGATGATATTTTATATGAAAAATGTAGTTTTCCAACTTTTTATCACTACAAAATAACTGATTATTGCCATTTTATTACTTATTCAAAAAAAAACATTCAAAACATTGTGATCTGTAACGTATAGGGCACGTTATTTCTACCCCCCCCCCAAAAAAAACGTGGCAGTTGTATATTCGTAAACAAAAACGTTTAAAGTTTGAGAACTTACGGAACATCACGACCACAAACTTGTCCTTGCGAATTAGTTGGATGTACGACACGTTTAAAGTCTCCCATGGCGAAACCTGGTGTGAAAGGTCAACAAACATCTTTACTGGGTAATTAAACATAAGATAAGCTATAACACCCTTTTAGATGTTTGTGAAACACACTGTTATGTAGATCAACTAGGGATGTTGGACTGTTCCTAATAAAAGGAACCTAGTGAAACATTTGTAGCCAGTTCCAACAACAACAAAAATCCTCATGTATACGGATATATAGTCAGTAGACTAGAAAATAGCCATTCATTAAGACCTGAACTGTTTCACAGAAATTGAGGGACATGCATATAAAAAACATATAAAATTGTGCTTATAGATTGAAATCAAAATAGCTCCAGGGTTTCCCCTGAGCTTCACAGGAATTATCAAGGACAAAAATGAAAAATCTGAACAGCTGAAATGAGAAAACATAAACAATGCTTGAGACACGTTCCCAAACCTTTGGAAGCTCAAGAAGCTTGAGGATTAATCAACAACAGCACTATATTCAATGGGAACGGGACACCAAATCAAGTTAGTTGCATCGTGATCACCGTTGTTTATACAGACAGATATTCTGGCCATTAACTCTTGACTTGATTTGTACCACCAGCAAAACGGAAAACAAAAACAAAGTAATTTTAATTGCTTAGTTGATCATCATGACCAGATTTATCTGTAGTTGCCTTTAATCAAGATGACAATGAACAATCTATTTCTCAACAACAACACACTGGCATGCTCAATTTACTCAAATGTACTTTCAGTTTTATGGTAAACACAGATAGGTGGGATTCAAGTTGTACTCAAAGACTTAGTTCGCTGAAATTAAAAAGTCAGTCAGTCAGTAACAACGTAGAACTTCGTACGTACGTACATCAGTTCGAGTTGCCACACCACATTAGCATAGAGATGCAGCGGTCGATTCAAATCCCGTAGTAGTAGAGGTAATAAGAGTATAAGCAGTAATCGGGAAGATTAGTGAAATTAAAAAACAATATATGCATACAACTTCACACAGGTAATTTTGAATACACGTAACACGAGATGACTCATGTTTTCATCATAGTCAAAAGTGATATTTTAGCATGGTTGAACGAGCTTATAATGTAGAATTGTTTTTGAACTTATTTATTTAAGATGATTCTGAGTTCGATTATTCACCAGAAGTTCGAAACGGGTTCCTGTGAGAAACGTTGGCAGTAAAAGCAACTGGACTACTTATTTCATTAATTAGAGCCTACAAACACGCTATATATATATTGTGCTTATAGATTGAAATCAAAATAGCTCCAGGGTTTCCCCTGAGCTCCACAGGAATTATCAAGGATATATATATATATATATATATATATATATATTCCCAGTAGCTGATAAAGAATATCCGTTCTGTCAATAAAATGAAATTCCCATCAGACAGATTTTAATATCCAAATTAAATTTCACTACAAAAACCTGTACATTTAAAAGTCCTAATTAGTCGCAATAAATATAAAATATTGGCAAAAAGCAAGTGGAAACTTACTCCACAAAGTAACGATAAGGAAACCAACGATGAATATTGAGAACAATATACAACAAGGAATATCTGTACATGTTCTGTCAAAAAAGAAAGCACGGAAACACTAAGTAAGAACTAGAGGTTTGACTGTGAATGAAGTAATTTTGAGTGCTGTTAGTGTATGAAGGCGGTTGTTACTTTACTGTACGCCACACAATGATCCCTCCTTGGAATACGCGAAAGGAAGTCTGGATTAGTGATGGCCTCGATGGCCTGGACTACGAAAGTAGTGCCTAAGAGACAACTGTTTGAGACCACATTCAGTAGATGAAAAAATAATTTAGGGACCAACCAATCAGGTATAAGAAAAAAGGCATTGGATTTCGGCGCGAGGTTCACTCATCCATTTGGTTAAATAGCGTTTTGGCATTATAGCTGATGTCAGTTGGCGATGAAAACCTTAAATCTAATTCCTAACCTTAACCATCAATCGTAAATTATAATTATAATTCCTCACACTGGTTTATAACCCACATTTGGTTCTAGTTAGTAGTAGACACACACACAAGGTCAATTTAGCGTCACTCATAGGTCGTCCATAAATTATAGTCTCACCGGAAAAATCAGTGCATATAGTAGTCACTTGAGGCACTTGTCGTATAGCATAAGACCTTTTACTTATCATATCTACAAAGTTCCTATCACTTTTTGATGGTCTGGTCGACCAAACCAGCTCAGAGAAAATAAACTCCATCAAAGTCATTCACCTGAGCTAAAAATCTTTCCCACCATCAACTCACTTTAGGGTTAAACGACCATTTGGTTCAACCAAGGTCTGAAATTAATTAGAGCCTCGTTAATTGTTGTTACCGGCTGTTGTATAAGCTAAGAAATGTCGGCATTGGAGGCAATCTATTGATGTGGATAAAAGACTTCCTAGTTGGGCACCAACAAAGAGTATGGATGAACTCAGTTATCTAACTGGAAAACTGTACTTATTGGAGTGCCCCAAAGTACAGTTTTGGGGGCAGTGCTATTCCTCCTGTATGTAAATGACCTTCCTCGTCTCCCATCACCATCAATCTTGCTACATGCTGACGATGTCAAGATGTGGAGAACGATACGATGTAAGGGTGATAGAACCTTATGGTCAATACGTAGGGTTTTTGTCATGTCGACGCTAAAACGTTTTTGACTTTGTATACAGTGTTTGTACGTCCTAAACTTGGAAACTGCATACAAGCGGCTAGCCCCTGCTTAAGAATAGACAGTAAGCTTCTGGAAAAGGTTCAGAGAACAGCAACTAAGCTGATTCCCGGAATAGCTAAGCTTCCGTATGATACTCGACTGGCCAAGCTAAACCTATTCCCGTTGCCATATCGTAGAACAAGAGGCGACTTGATTAGTTTTCAAATTGCTTAGTGATAAATTTGCACCTGATATGCCCTCATTTTCCGTGTCTTCCAGAACAGAGAATTTACGGGGACACTCCAAAAGCGTTCACAAGCCCAGAACAAATTACTTGTCAGCTGACTATCGACTTTCCCATCGAATCATCAACGAGTGGAATTCATTACCTCAGCACGTGGTTGAGACCCCATCCGTCGGCTCTTTCAAAACAATTTTGGATCAACTGAGAGACCACCATTGCCAGGACTAACACAGGCCATCAAGCCTCCTGTCCTTTCCAAACTGAAACTGTTAATTGTTGTAAGGTAGGGAAATAAGTGAGCTCCAAAATACGTAAATTCCACACAAGAATGTTTTTCGGAAGAAGCACAATAAATGATTGCATTAGGTATATGTATAAAACACCTACCTATTTCGTACAGGGCCAATGGTACGCAATGTTTTCGAACCTGAAAATTAGGGAATTATTCACATTTACATAAGAACTTCTGGACTTCACCCAATTAACAACTTACTGATGAAAAATGAATTGGAGAGTATGGGACATTGTTAAGCAAGCACAGCAAACGTAAAACACACGACCGTCAAATTAGACGAAAATATGAATACTACACTTAATTACGATTTCCTGTCAATTTCCGTTACATAAAATATCCCATAGGACTGACTGACAAAAAGTGTAATCATCTGTGAACGAAGTTAGAGATGTTATAAACGTTATTTAGAGTTTCGGAATTTTTCTTCAGCAAAATTAAGTGAACAAAACGAAACTTGAACAATTTGTTCACCACGGGTTTTGGATTCCACATATTATAGTCACAAAAAGCGGTATATTTCCTACGTAATTACTGATGCTATCCATGTCCTGATCGTCTTCAAGTAGTTTTGTTGGAATTAGTATCACCTTGAAACAAATTCACATCTAACAATTATAACGGGTCTACACAACTACTGCAATTTATTTTACTTCAAAACGACCAAGGGATGAGTACAATAAACCACAAATAAACTACCTGTATCCCGCGAATGTCCACAGCAGCCCATATTTTGCGCCAAATGTTTTGAATTGAAAGATGTGACAGAAGACAGACTATCACTTATCAATAGATTAAAATATTAGTTTCAGTTTTCAGTCCTCACTAATAAGGAGCGTAGATCGGTGTACCTTTTTTAATCGTGCCAGTTTGCCTTCCAGTGAAGGTTTAGCTTCTCCTTGGAAATATTCACTGATGAGGATGACACAACTTGTTCGGGTAAAGCGTTTCAGTCATTGACCACTCGATGAAAATAAAACGGGACCCCACTTCAAGTTTATTAGATCGTGGTTTGTGAACCCTCTTGCTATGACAGCGGAGATTAATAAAGCTGCAGGAGGCAAAAAGATAAGGCATATTAACAGCCAAATCATAATTAAAGATACGAAGTGCCAATATAAGGTCACGTATCAACATACGATACAAGAGGAAAACGTCCGGTCGTTCTAAGAACTCATCGAAAGGGTGTTTAGAAAAACCCTTCACTAATATAGTTCACATACGCTGAACACGCTCAGGTGAGTTAGTATCCTTAATAAGACAAGGGCAGCAGTAAATAATTCCCCGAAATCAACAGCTCTGTAAGTCCTCGACATTGGATACTGATCACATTAGTTTTAATGGACTCACTTAGCTGAAAGCGCTCGGTCATGCATCCGCACCAGATCACGAGTGGAAACGCCGTGCTCAACATCCCCTGCAATTGATAACCAGGTTAGATCAGTCGATCCACGATATATTGATAGCCTATCAAATATATCTTCGAACCTCCTCACATCTGAGTTTTGATTTCACTAGGTGTGTACGATTCATATAAAATGGTGCTACTGGCCAAAGCGTTGTCAAACTCCAAATACCTGTGGCATCTTTAATACTTATTATTTACGCGTTCTCTTAAACAGACAGACTGTGATTGTGAGATCCACGCTCAGTCCGAGTCAATTATGTTTGTCCAAAAGCTAGATGAACTTCAGATTTGTAAACATGAATAAGTATACCCTACGTCCAGGGGTATGATGATGAGAAGCTTTTGATAAACTGTTTTAAAAAGTATAATTGGTTTCACAGGCTTGTTTAGACGAATACATTTTACAGTGTGCACCTAAAAACAGCTTGTCTGTTTCCGATAATGAAATTAGCGATGTGGATTCTATTGATCTTCAAAAATCCATTATTGACCACCAACCACAGAGGGCTAATTTCTGGAGATTCAAAACTCAATTATTATTTAGTTCACTTTGCTCGCAATAGAAGTTCATCACAAATAAATCCCCTACTATTCCTGACATTCTATGCATTAGTACAAAGTTTCCGTGAATATACATCTGTGGTGACCGCAGAATGACACAGAACAATCACTACAAATCATCCATGATCATGAACGCTCTCTAATTTAAGTGGCAGAACACTGAAAGCTAGATGAATGGTGAAAACTAGCAAGGGCCGAAACGCCATCACGGGAACATTATCAAAACTTAAAGCGTGGCACTGCAACTCCTTCAACTTTAAATTAAATATATTCATTTGTGAATTATAAAGCTTCTAAATGCCGTTGCCGCCAGTTTTCAACTCAGACCCTCTTTACTAATACAAGTCAATAGGGGAAATATTAAGACCTCCATAAATGAAAGACAAATCCGTGTCAATCTGAATTTTAACGGCACTTCCAATGTGAACTTATTCTAAAAGAAGCACACGTTCCTCTTGGATACATATAAACTAGGTTGGTATATTTCAAGTGTTGATTAAATTTGTTCGCACTAGAATCCAATGCATCCTCGGGGAACATCGATCTTGACTCTACTTTTTTGTACCGACCACCCTGTTTGGTATACGTATATTGTCATTGCTAAGGATTTAGAAAATCAAATATAAATACGAAAGTTGTAATTCACCGACGTCATTCAAACCTCTGCTTTCTAAACGCATTGCCCAAATATCGATCTTCATGTGTCAGCTCTTAGAAATTACGGCTGATTTTAACCAGTTCAATAATAGTAATGTGTTCGATATGAATGGTGATATACCTAGAGCAAGTGAATCTATCAGAGAGTAAGATTAAGTGCTCTTTTCGTACTTAACAAACAAAGTATCTTTGATAACCCTCAAAAGATGTGCAAATATGGGTCTGTGGACTCGACTGAGCCTTGCAGATAACACTGTGAATCAGAAGACAAAAACTACTATTCAAGTTTGTTGGACCCTTTTATTGTTGACCCAAGTCATGAAGTTACTGTGCATAACTATCCTAAAGCTCGTAATGCAACCTATTTAATTAATCGCAAAGCTTCATTTCATCTGCAACACTGATCACTAATGATAGTTGATGACCAGATCATGAACGATTGTCATGAAAAAGGATTTTTTGGTTAAGATGCACCAAAGATTTAGCGAAGTATTCGCTCCACATTTTCTTATTCCACTCTACAAGTGTCAAGGACGAAACAGTGTTGAAATACTCATCAAATCCAACGTGTACCCGTCAGCTTACAGTAACTCCATAAACCGAATAACTGCTAACGGTTTCAATATTCATTCTCGCTTACACTCTCTGTCGAAGTGAGAATCTATGACTTCTTTGACCAGTACTGCAACTTCGCCTAGGTATAGAAGGATATAGCCCAAAACAGGTGAATAAACTCTAAGAGATACATCATTATCACCTACTTAAATTCATGTAAGAGACGAACGGAGCTCAGAGTAGTACGTTTGCAGTAACAACTAATTGGCTAAGGAAGTACAAAGCATTCCTAGGATCCTGGTTATCTTGATGTGGTGTTTGTATTAACAAATGATTCTCTTGTACTTGATGCGTGCCTGATTTTGAATTCCAAATACAATACGTTCGTTTGTGATCACATAGTTATATTCGGATCCTTAGTTCGCATATTAATTCAAACGCTCCCAACTATCACACTGGAGTTGTGACGGAGCCTGTGATTGAACAATTCCAAATGCATTCAAATTTTAATGCTTTTAAGGATTATATAGAAAGGTTCGAAATCTGGATTATGACCAAGGAAGACGATGAGTATGATAATATTATGGCTCATTTCCTTACATTCATCGGAAAAGAGACTTATAGCTTACTAAAATCTTTGACAGTTCCAGGAAGCTTATTTCACTTCCTTATACAACTCTCAAGGAACTCTTGCATGACCATGTAAAGTGCTATACAAAAGAAAATGTCCTAAAATAACTCGTCAGGACACTGAAAATTCCGCTACACTATTACGTCAGCCTAACCGAATGCGTGAACAAGGTTATGCAAATACCAATTCATTGAGGCGTTGCGGAGCAGGTCACGAAGATGAGCACAAGTTTGGTAAATGCTTGTCCTGTAGCTCAATTTTGATTACCATTCGAATGATTTCATGACAATTGTTGTTCATCCTTATCATGAACTCACTTCTAATGAGCCCTCTAATCAAAGTAAAAAATAGGCCTCAAATGAAGCAACATCAGTTATAACTTGAGGATAAGAAAATCCAACATTATTTCATGAGGGAGTATAGTGTTGGAATGTCAGTGATTTCAGTACACAGGACCCAGGTAAGTCCGTCCCCATTTCAGTCGCTAATTTCAATACTAAAGAGTATGTTCTAGATCATACAGAGGCTGTATCCAGTGCATAGTCAGACAGACATACAATGAACCTAAAGGGAAAGAATACAATCGATCACAAAAACTTATATTTCAATTTAAGCTGTAGCGATTTTTGTATGAAATAATGATTCTTTTGTACTTAACGTCTACCTCAAAATGCTTTCGGAAATAAACATCAAATTGACCTTGATCTGCTAATGAAGCAGAACTAATTGAAGAACTGTTGGTCCTAATGAACTAGACAGGTATTGCAACCTAATTCTGCCTCTAGACCCACGCGATCGCTCATTCTCGGACACTGTCCAGTCATTGAGCCAACAATTCGGAGACAACTCCTCACTATTCAATGCGCGTTATCGATGTCTGAAGCTCACTATGAACGAAGATGCTGATTTTCTCACACATGTGGGTATCGTTAACCGAGAATGTGAACGCTTCCGGTTGAAGTCGCTTACTGAAGACCAATTTAAAGCACTCATTCTCATCTGCAGCCTTCAATCACAGAAGTTCAGTGACATTAGAACACGTTTGCTAAGTCGATTGGACCAAGACCCAAAACTAACTCTTAATGATATTGCAAACGAATATCAACGCCTAATCAATCTACAGCGTGATACTACAATGGTCCAGCGTGGTGGTTCAGATCGTACCGAAGTTTATGTAGTCCAACAACCACGCAACTCGCATAAATATGCCCCAGCGACATCTAGTTCAAGTCAAAAGACAAAAACAAATCCTCCTGCCCCATGCTGGCACTGCGGTGCATGGCATTTTGTTCGATACTGTCCATATAAGCAACATCGGTGCAGGAAATGTAACACGGTGGGTCATAAAGATGGTTTTTGTCGAAAAAAGAAGCCAAGCAACTCTAAAGGTACCAAAAAGCCTACGCCTAGATCCAATACGAATTCGTTGAGCCTAATAGCAAGCTGTGAGAACTCATGCCCAGTTGAGAGGAAATTTATTACCCTTAATATTAATGGGCACCCATTTAGATTGCAAATAGACACTGCATCTGATGTAACAATTCTCTCACGAAAATATTGGATCAGAATGGGAAGACCACGCATGGTTCCAACAACACAAAAACCTCGAACTGCATGCGGTAATTACCTACGTTTGTTGGGACAACTAGATTGTAAAGTGTCTTTTCACGATTCGACGTTTACCGGTGTATGTTACATCACACCAGCTGATCTTAATCTACTTGGGTTAGACTGGTTTGACCGGCTACATTTAGCTGACGTTCCTTTAAGCACCGTATGCCATCTGGTGAAACAACCTCATGAACCTGAAGCATATTCGAAAGAACTAATGACGGAGTTCTCAACCATTTTCCAACCTGTATTGGGTCAGTGCACTGCTATGAAAGCAACACTTCGGTTGAAACCTGGAGCTAAACCTGTCTTCCGTCCAAAGAGACCAGTGC